AGTGCCCTGAGCATCAGTATCGCCCTGAGCATCAACAGTGCCCTGAGTATCAATATCGCCCTGAGCATCAATAGTGCCCTGAGTATCAATATCACCCTGAGCATCAATACTATCCTGAGCATTCATACCACCCTGAGCATCAATACCATACTGCGTATCAATAGCACCCTGCGTATCACCAGCACCCTGAGCATCAATACCACCCTGAGTATCACTAGCATCTTGAGCATCAATAACATCCTGAGCATCAATAGCACCATCAGCATCAATAGTACTCTGAGCATCAATAACTGAGGGATCATATGAAAACAGCAGAGAAACACACAGAGGCAGACATCTAGTGGGAATGTTCACTGAGAGATCATATATGATCCAGCAGAGACACAGACAGACAGAGAGAACTACTGGGCATGATAAATGAGAGATATTGACACAATAACAAGAAATATGAATAGCACTGGACTGACCGCAATAATCATTCTCAATAGACATCTCTCTCTGACTGTGTCTGCTGGATTCATATGATCCCTCAGTGATCTTTCCCAGTATATCTCTGTCTTTGTCTGCTGCGTTAATATGATCTCAGTGGGATTTCCCAGTAGATTTACAATCATAGAAGAATCATACAGTCCCTATGGTGCAGAAAAAGGCTATTTAGCCCATTGAATGTACACCAATCCTCAGAAGAACATCCCACCCAAACACAGGACCCTGACCCATCCCCATAACCCTGTATTTAGCATGGCTAAACAACCTAACCTGCACATCTTTGCACTGAGAGGAAACTGGAGCACCTGGTGGAAACTCACATAGACGCAGGGAGAATTTGCAAACTCCACACAGTCACCGAATGCTGGGATTGAACCTGAGTCCCTGGTGCCGTGAGGCAGCAGTGCTAGCCACTCACCAAGCCACTGTGCTGCCCCAAGATTTCTGTAGCTGCTGGGTTAATATTATTTCTCATTGATTATTCCTAGTAGATCTCTTCCATTGTCTGGGGTTTCAGGTTACTATGATCTCTCAGTGCTCATTGACAGCAGATTGCTTTGTCTGAATCTGCTGGGTTAATATGATCTCTCAGTTATCATTCCCAGTAGATCTCTTTCTTTATCTGCATTCATCGGTTTAATGTGATCCCTCAGTGATCATTTCCAATATGCCATCCCTCCAAATTTGCTGGGCTAATATGATCTCTCAGCGATCATTGTGTGTAGATCTCTAGCTCTGTCTGTGTCTGTTCTCCGTTGATATGAATTATCAATGATCATTCCCAGTACATCTCTCCCTCCACGTCTGCTAGGATAATATGATCTCCCAGTCATCATTGCCAGTCGATCCCTCCCTCTGTCTGTATCTCTGCTGTTAATATGAGCTCTCAGTGATCATTCCCAACAGATCTCTCCCTTTGTCCGTGCCTGATTGTAAATAGGACCCCTCAATGATCAGTCCAGTAGATCTGCCTCTGCTGGGTAAATATGATCTCTCAGTGATCATTCCCACTAGATCTCTAACCCTGCCTGTGTCTATTCTGGGTTAATATGATCCCTCACTGATAATCCCCAGTAGATCTCTTTGTCTGTATCTGCTGGGTTAATATGATCTCTCAGTGATCATTCCCAGTAGATCTCTCTCTCTGCCTGTGTCTTATGTGTTAATATGATCCCCTCAGTGATCAGTCCCAATAGATCTATCTCTGCTGGGTCAATATGATCTCTCAATGATCAGTCCCAGTAGATCTGCCTCTGCTGGGTAAAAAATTATCTCTCAGTGATCATTCCCAGTGGAGCTCTCCCTCAGCCAATGTCTGTTGGATTAATATGATCTCTTAGTGATCATTCCCAGTACACCTCTCCCTCAACTAGTGTCTTCTTGGTTAATATGATCCCTCAATGATCATTCCAGTAGATCACTAACCCTGTGTGTGTTTATTCTGAGTTAATATGATCCCTGAGTGATCATTCCCAGTAGATCTGTCTCTGCTGGGCTAATATGATCTCTCAGTGATCATTGTGTGTAGATCTCTAGCTCTGTCTGTGTCTCTTCTTGGTTGATATGATTTATCAATGATCAGTCCCAGTACATCTCTCCCTCCATGTCTGCTGGGATGATATGATCTCCAAGTCATCATTGCCAGTAGATCTCTCCCTCTGCCTGATGGATTAATATGATCCCTCAGTAATCAGTCCCAGTAGATCTCTTCCTGTCTGTGCCTGAAGTGTTAATATGATCCCTCAGTGATCAGTCCCAGTAGATCTCTCCCTCTCTGGGTCTCCCCTTCACAGAGGGATTCTCTGGTAGATACCATTTGACAGTCCGCGGGGGGGGGGGGGGGTGGGTGGGTTACGTCAGTACGTTCCCCGCCCCTTCCCTGCCTCCCCCCCCCCAGGGGCAGGCGGTGATGGTTTGTGCCCGTGACCTGTGACCCAGGTTAGGGGCGGGGCGGCTGCGGGCGCCATCTTTTCCCATGGACGAGCCTCGAGGGGGCGGCCGCAGCAGGATCAGGAGCAGCTTGTTGTTGTTTCAGAGAGGGACACATTGAGGGGGTAAAAGCTCGGTGCCTGCAGCTCACACACTGCCCGCCATGGCCAATGTGTCCTATCACATCTCCAACCTGCTGGAGAAAATGACCTCCAGCGACAAGGACTTCAGGTAGGCCCCGTCCCCTTCCCCCTCCCCCTCCCCCTCCCTCTCCGCCTACCGCCCTCCTTTAAACACTCTGTTACACTGGGGCAGCAAGACCCCAATCCCAGCTGATAGTGCCCCCCCGCCCC